TATATATATATATATATATATATATATATATATCACTTACCATTATTTTCATTATGGTTAATAAAAATATTTTTAGCAATATAGTGTTAAAAATTGAGCATCATTGTTTGCCTTTTACTAATAATTAGTGTTTATCTACTCTAGTTGTATTTAGTATTCGTTAAAAGTCTATATTAAGGTAGAAGCTAATTAACTAATACTATTATATTTTCATAGCATGTGCATTTGATTTTAAAAATATGAATACTAATTATTTACCGACTTTAAGGATGAAACTTAAAAAATCCAACCTCAATTTGCAAAACTCCTGATGCAGATAGTTCATTTGATTTGCACTATATTTGGAGCATAAACAATAAAGTGGACTAAATTACAGGAAAAATTGGAGCATAAAAACATGATAAGTAGTTAGTTATAAATCAATTTTTATTGTAATAACAAATTATTATAATAAAAAAAATTGTAATAATCAAATTTTTTTTTTTAAAAAAAAACATATATTATAACGTACTAAGTCATGTACGTCATAATACGTTAGTGTTGAAAACACCATATTATAAAGTATCAACAAATCTACGTTATAATATATTTCGCGCATATTATAACCGATTTCAGAAACTACGTTATAATATGTTTAAGCTATTATGACGTAAATTTTTGTTACGTTATAAAATACGCAGACTTATTATATCGTCCAGAACTATGTCTCTTGTAACTACGTTATAATAGGTCATTTTTGTACGTTATAAAATATCATTTTTCAACTAGTGCTTGTCGGAGAAAGAGGTGAGAGTTACTCCCTCCACTAGTGTAAGAGAAAACTTTAGTGGTCACTCCTTTTTCTCCGGCGACCCTCTTAGTTTCAGTGACTTTCTAGCGCCGGGACACTCCTCAACGGCGAAAACAACGTCCCGACCACGGCCTTCCTCTCATCAATCCTGACCGTCACGAGAGCGATTGGGTTTTGGGTTTGCTCTGGTTTCTTCTTGCAGGTCTCGCGAGTCGCAACGGCGACATTGGGTTTTTAGGGTTTTGTTTTGGGTTTGATTTGGGTTCTTGGGCTGGTTTTTTTGAGTGCAGGGTTGAAAATGAAAACCCGAGGGAGGAGATGATGAAGAAGAAGACGCTCGCGCAGCGGAGCGATTTAGGTTGGTGAAGGTTTCACAATGGAGGTTTCTGGTGAAGAAGATGATCTCGCTGCTATAGATGGTGCGACAACGACGCAAAGTGGTTCTCGTGGTGTGGCCTGGTGCGAGTAGCTCATGGAGAGGCGCTGGTGCGTTAATGGCGGAGGCGGCTCGCTGAGGACTGGTGGTGAGGATGGTGGCGATGCTAGGGTTTGGCGGCGTTAATGGAGGATTCGCGGTGATGGTTGAAGATGACGGCGATTTGCGGTTCTGATGGTGGTGGCCATGCAGGCTTGCGGCTGATGGCGAGGTTGATGGTGGTGGAGATAGGGTTTGGTGGCGGGAAAGTTGCTGGCAGCGACTGCAAGGTTGGTGGTGATGGAATTAGGGTTTCTGTGTAGAAAGGAAAGCTGACATGACAGGTGAGGGGGTGTAGGGAGATTTAGGAGTTTATAAAAGATAAATAAAGTTAAATTAACGTAAGGTATTTTTGAAATAAAAAAAATAGTGTAGAGGTGTAGAAAGCATTTGAGGTGGTAGAGGAAGCAACTCTCTTTATCAGTTACTAGAAATTGAGCGTTACTCCCTCCACCACCACAAAGTGCTTCATGCATCTCCGATTCCTCTTTTGCCCTTTTTATTTAATGTGGTGGTTAAAAGTTTTTAACTTTCTCCAACTTTCAATCACTTCATTAATGGTTCCCACCAATATATGAATGCACCCCCACACTCCACCATTCCATATAAATCAATTTTCTCTTCTTTTCCTTTTTCCATGTAATTGTTCTTCTTTAAAAATAAAACAATTCAAAACAAAATCAATTAACTTTAATTAAATTAATAATAATTAATTCATTAAATAAAACAAAATTAATTTAATTAAAAATACATAATTTACTTAAAATATAATTATAATTAAAATATAATTAATTAACTTTAAAAGTATCTAAAAATTAATTTATAAATCAATAAATTAATAAATTAATAAACTAAAAAGTAAAAAAAATAAAAGAATCCGTTTAGCTTTTCATGCTTTTTTTACAAACACTTCACTTATAAATAAATA